TAACAAAAACGAAGTTTAAATTACTAAATGGAGTTTAAAATGACATTTTTACATTAACAATGTCATTTTAATCTTCGTTTAATAATTTAAACTTCGTTTGACACAACGGTGGAATCGGCCCTTAGCTAGTTATATATTGATAAAGTGTTATTGCCCTCATCATACATGAATAGTGCTAACAAATAAAGTCAAAAAAAAGTCTCATAATTTTTCATCTTTTAGTTACCCACCAAAATTAGGTACTACAATACAAATATTTAAGTCCGGCCCAGAACATCTCCCTACTCCTTCCACCCAGTTTTTCGGTTTTGACAAAATTCGCGCAGCGACAAATGCTTCCTATGTTACCTCTACCCTTTCTAACCTCTTTGGTGGCTACTTAAATTATTCGCCGTGCCTGAACAAGGTTTAATCGTTATCCAGCTTTGCTATGGCTTTCAGTCGTCGTTTTATGGGATTGTCGCCATACTATCTTATAAAACATTAGCGGAAAAGAAAGCTGAAAAAAGATTAAAATACCGAGATCTATAGATAGAAATTCAGAAATCAGCGAATGCAGCCATACTCATATATCACTGCTAAGTTGTGGCAAATAATATACAGTATATACAGGGTAGTTCTTAAATAATTTTACATAGAAGGATAGTGGATTTTTTACGATTTGGGCCAATTTACCAATAAAATATTGGTAATAACACAGATACATGGTGTTAAAGGTAAAATTATAAAATTTATTTTCCTTATTTTTGAAGATTTTTATTAAATTTTTTTAAATTAATAGTAATACTATCGTTTATTGTCCAACAGTACAAACCATTTACAGAGCAAGTAGGTACATAACTATTATACATTCATATTTGAAAATTAAAAGTAGGTACAAAAAATAAATGTAAAAAAGTAACTAAAAATTAAGAAAGAGAATGCCAAGTTAAAACTAAGAAATAATATTGCTACTCAAAACTAAAGACATGTACGAGTTTTGTTTTTCAATTTACATACATACAAAAAAAATATTACAAAATTCCTATATTTTATTAGCGTTACAGCACATAAAATTTATGGGTGATTTAGACATTAAATTCGTTTGAGCTCCTTTACAATGAAATGTATTATTTGTCTGGAAGTTATCATGGGAAGATAATTAATTAACTGAGATAATAAATCCGAACTGTCAACTTTTTAGTTTAAAAGCCTATGTACTATAAAACAGAGCTTTGCTTTCTACGTTTTTCTGAGCTAACAAAATTCAATTTATTTAAAGATTATAGTTTTACAGATCAGTTGACATGTTGACCTCTCTGTTTAACTACAGGCTTTCGTGAAAACATCTTGCTACTTCGGGCTCACTCACATTAGTGCACCACGCATACGCGATTAGCCAGGGCGCAGTGGTGTACCCAATGATAGAGATTAACACGTACGAAAACAATAGAATTATTAAAAGTGAATTTATATTTTTATGTTGTTTATTTTAAAATAATGTGTTTTTATGAAATAAAACTGGGTGTTCACTATTCACTGCACAAATAAACCAATGGAGAAACCTACCCTGGATTTTACATTTATTGATATTCAGGAAAAGATGATTTTTAAGAAACCAATTTTGTAAATAATTTAGCTGCATTTGTAATATTACGCAATCATCTAGTATGGGTATAGAAGTATACAATTTTAAGTCGTCAGCGAACAATAATCTATTAATATCGAATGAATCACACAAATCGTTGATAAATAATATAAATAACAATGGACCTAGATTGGAACTCTGAGGGACCCCACTGATTGCCGAATAAATATTCGAGGAGAATCCATTCAGATGAACATATTGCTTTCTTTGATGCAATATGATTTAAAGAAGGAAAGGTATATATCGTTAAAGCCATGAGAAGAAAGCTTTTAAAGAAGTGTCTCATGACTAATTTTGTCAAAGGGCTTGGAGAAATCCTTTTATATCGCATCTACCTGATCTCTTCTATCTAACGATTCACACAAGTATTGACTAAATACTGCTAAAAGTTACTCATTGTGGATATCGAGTTCATGACTCCATGATGAATGTTAGATATAATATTTTTGTAGCTAGATAGTTGCGGTTGTATAAAATGGACTCCAAGATATTTGCTGTATTATTGAGAATCGATATGGGCCCATAGTTATTATTGACATTCCGATTTTGAGACTTGTGTATGGGGCAAATTTTGGCTACTTTCCAAGGGTCAGGAAAAGTTGAGTTTTCAAAATTAAGTTAAAAAGGTTTTTCAAAGAATAGAGTACAATTCTGATATAATCCTTCAAAAGAAATTATCGAATTTTATCGGGACTAGAGGTGACCTTGTTCTTTAACTTGAAAGCAGCATCTAAAATCTCTTTTCAGATATTGGCTCGTAACTAATATCAATAAGGTCGCAGTTATTGAAATTTAAATTTAGACTTGTATCATCCGGATCCAGGAAAGAGTAAACCCTTTCGAAGAAACTTTCGAAAGCATTAACGATTGCCTGGGGAGTATTGTAAGACTCATCGCCACAGTACATTTTCACAGGAATACTTGTAGTTTTCTTTTGATGAACAAAGGACCAAAAAGCTTTTGGTTCAATTACTAAGCAAGCTAGGACATTTTCCAGATAATTTTCACATTCCCCATGAATTTTCTGCTTAAATAATGCTCTAAGTCTACTGAACTCCTGGTAATAAGCAACATTATTTGTTATTTTTAATTTTTTATTAACTTTTGCTTTATTCTTAATAAGATTAATAATTTATTTTGAGTAGGTACCATACTAAATATTTCTGCTTGAACTTTTTGTAAAATAGAACATAAGCACCCAGTATTTCGTATAACTTATTATTGAAACTTTCAACTACTAGATTATAATCACTAAAATTATTAAAAAAACACCAGTCGGTATGTATATTAACAAATTAAATTTGGCTTTTTTATAGTTATACATCTTATGATTATTATTTGTGTCAAATTTATCTTGTTTCAAATATATTTCTTTAAGTTCAAAGTATAGTAAAGGATGGTAGGAATCTTCATTTAAAAGTACGGTGTTTTCGCGGATTACCAAACATATTTATATTACTTATTACCAGGTCAAATAAACGATTATAATTATTGTTAACATTCTTGTATTGTATCATATCAAATAATGCTAATAAATTGGCAATTAAGCGGGACTTATCCCACAATCAAAACTCTCTGAGAAAGTACAATTTCACAACCTGTAAATGCTTCTAAAAAGTTATCAAAATTTTCTAGAGAGGTTGATGGAGAAATATAATAAATTGGTGGTAAATTACTTAAGCACCACCCTGTATCATAACTCGGAAATGGTTTTACGGCATGAGCCCTATTCTTAACAGCGATAGAATAGAGAAAGTGGACGCGGTTCAACTGAAATTCCAAAAATTGTATTCCTACTGTATTCTTACTGTATTCTTACTGTATTCTTACTGTATTCTTACTGTATTCTTACTGTATTCTTACTGTATTCTTACTGTATTCTTACTGTATTCTTACTGTATTCTTACTGTATTCTTACTGTATTCTTACTGTATTCTTACTGTATTCTTACTGTATTCTTACTGTATTCTTACTGTATTCTTACTGTATTCTTACTGTATTCTTACTGTATTCTTACTGTATTCTTACTGTATTCTTACTGTATTCTTACTGTATTCTTACTGTATTCTTACTGTATTCTTACTGTATTCTTACTATATTCTTACGACGTGATAAAAAATATATTCCCAGTAGAATTAATTGATTCTCTTAACATTTTTGTAAGAGAACAATAATTAAGGAGCGCGATGATTATACTACATATAGATCAATAAATTTAGAGTCTTAATTTAATTTAATGATAGTATCAGTAAGACTATATAATTGGTCATTTTATTTTTACTATTTTCGTGTATAGAAACGAATTTTAATCAAATATTATTAGGGGACCAAATTATGGAGGAAGTACGTGAGGTGAACAAACATTTAAATAAAGTGTATATAAAGTATATATTTGCGTCCAATTTATTCCATGATATTTTGCTCCATTGTTTCCTTTGATAGTTAGAGTTGTTTTATTTGTATCTTTTTCTTTGCACAATACCTATTAATAAGAAGCTTGGACTGACATTAAACCAGCCTTTCAGTGATAAATGAAGCCTAAGACATAGCTTTATTTTTTTACCCTTTCAGGCGTTCCTCTGCTTCACCCTGAGGGGTTCCTGCAGACTCCCCTCAATCAGGTTTGAGGTCCAGCATGCTTTTTATCCTCTTAGGGTTCCCATGGTGACACTGAAGCGCAGATAGCTTATTGTGCCACCATTTGGATGCCCTACGTCTCCTCATTTATCATATATTTATTCATCATCATTCAATCCTCGTCGTCGATGATTAACCGCTAGTTAAACATCTACGGCGTGATCGGATATAGCTTTGTAATAATCTGAATTTGAAGTTGTTTGAGGGATCATAATTTCTGTCTAACGAGTTTTTCCTTTTAGTAAGATATTCTATAATCTTCTTTAAAATTTATTTATTTATCTATTTATGTTAACTTTACCTTTATTTTTTATCGAATATAATCAGGTTATATTTAGGCAACACTGCGATCTCGGATCTATTTTATTCCTCTGCTTTCCTCGTATTCAAGGACTATATTTGTATAATCTTGTGTCTTTGTTTAGTTATACTAGTTTCCATACCAAATGTTTCTGGCGCGCTCTTTTGGGTTCTAGACCAAAACAAATGTGTCGCCACCTAGCTATTGCAAACAAAGATAACGGGAAGAGTTTAAACGTAGCCATATCATTGTGCAGTCCCATCAATTCAATGAGTATCCTGTTAATAATCCCATAATGGTGCATATTTGGGGCCTTGCGACCAATAAATATTATGCTAACAGAGTCACATTTGAACCTTGCTTGAAAAAGAAAATCATAATAACTATAATATCAAATTAACAATTATTTTCAAATGTAAAATCTTATTTTTACAGAAGTAACACCAACGTCATCACCAGGTACTACCTCTTCTACTACCTCTTCTACTACCACCAGCACAACTACTATAACTACCACTCGTAAGTATTTTATTTCATTCTTATTTGTCTTTATAGAAATCAAACGAATTTAGACGAATTTGGATACTTGTCTGCTTAAGACTGAAATGTGGTATTGATATTTGATCATTGATCGAAAGTATTGATAATACAATTTAAACTAGACCTAACCGACTAAGGCCAGAGACCGGCCAGTTTATTTGAATTACTGCGAATTCTTCTTACCTAAAATTATAAAAGTAAAGGGGAGAGAACTATTCTGGAATCTAGGAATTCTTCATTCAATAGATTAATAATAGCAAATATTGTTCACTACAATTAATATACAGGGTGTCTGTAAAAGGTCTTTACAAAAACATACCACATATTCCTTACACCAAAATAAGTCGATTTAAGTAAAATTACCTTAGTACAAAGTTGCTTCGTTTGGGCTCCAGAGGGCCTTTAAGTTACAATTTTTAAATCGTTTTTCCCATATAAAATTAAAACGACAATTGCGATTTTGCTGAAATTTGGTATATTGGTAGAGTTCTATGTGGCAAAAAATGGTATTAAAATTTTGTCCGATAATAATGCGTAGAACTTGATTTTTTAGATAATTGCACCTTTAAAAATTCTACGCCAATGGAAGAAAAGGAGTTTGAGTATGAAATTTAGATTGCGCAACTCATTTACTTTAAAAAAGGTACTCTTGATAAGACTCGATTACACTCATGGTTTTCGCTAAATTTCTGTATTAATAATTTAGAATGTATAGGTTACACAAAAATATTTATTTACAACATAATCAAAATAGAGATTTTACAAAAATTGTTCAAAATGTTCACCATTTTCACGCATACAAAGATTTATACGTCGAAGAAAATTAAAATGTATCCTTTCCATAACTTCTTCATCACCTCTAAGATTGTTTATTGCATCTTGAATACGTTGCCAGAGTTGTTCCTCATTTTCTACAGGTTCCCTGTAAACTGTGGATTTCAGATGTCCCCATAAAAGTAATCCATCGGTGTTAGGTCTGGGGAACGTGGTGGCCAGTTTACAGGTGCGTCATTACCTCTGCCTATCCATTTGTGTTAATATTGTTCATTCAACTGGTTTCTAACCTTTAAAGAAAAATGTGGTGGAGCTCCATCTTGCATAAACCACATATCGCTCCGAAGTTGGAAAGGTAAATCTTCTAACAATTCTGGCAACGTATTTTGTAGAAAATCCAAATAATTTTCTCCAGTTAATCTTCGTGGAAGTATGACAGGACCAAGAATGAAATTACCAATTATTCCAGCCCACACATTAATTTTGAATTCGTGCTGAAAATGGTTTACCTTTATTGCATGCGGATTTTCAACGGCATAAACATGTTCATTATGGGTATTAGTTATACCTCTTCTTGTAAAACCCGCTTCATCGGTAAAGAGAACCTTCTTGACAAAGTTTGAATCTCTTTCTCTGTGCATATTAACAAATCGACAAAAACCCAAACGAATTTGAGGATCATGGACTAATATTTCTTGTACTGGCTTCTTATGGTATGGATATAGCAATTGTTCTCTAAGCACTTTATGAGCGACATCTTTACTTACTGCTAGTTCCCTTCCAATTTGTCTGGTGCTTAATTCTGGATCTTCTTCAACACGTACCTAAAATGTCTTCTTCAACTTCAGTAATCCTTACAAAACGTTCTCTTCCATTATCAACAGTGTTGGGAGCAAAGGAACCGGTCTCCCGAAGACGTCTCTCAACAGCAGCAAAAGTTGGGTGGCTAGGTACACGACGATTTGGAAACCTTTCAGAGTTCACCCTGACATGCTCGATTTCCTTCACAAAATCCTAATGTCAGTAACATATCGGTATATTCTGCATTGGTATATTGTACAGCCATATTAATAAACCACGCATTTGTTTTTTTAATTATTGAGTCAGATAGAACACTTTCAATCGTTAACAAGAGATTAGGTGTTAAAACTTGACAATATCTTTATTTAGATGAAACTATGGAAACCAACAATAAATGTTTTTGTATACGTATTGCAGGCAAATAATTAATATTCAAAAGGAAAAACTTGTATTTCGTGCAAAACTTTTTTATTAATCAATGCAAAGCGCTTTCGGCTTATTTGCCATCATCAGTGCTCATTGTCCACAACGTATCCAACAAGTTCCTGGTCATCCTCACTTTATTTAGCAAGTTGTAAATATCCCGAAATATATAATTTTGGGAGTGAGGATGACCAGGAACTTGTTGGATACGTTGTGGACAATGAGCACTGATGATGGCAAATAAGCCGAAAGCGCTTTGCATTGATTAATAAAAAAGTTTTGCACGAAATACAAGTTTTTCCTTTTGAATCTAAACTACGTGCACACAGCTGTCAACCTTTTTTGGTTATTTTAATAAATAATTAATATTCCTCAAAAAATCGTACATGGCAAGAATCGAGTATTTTTGTTAAAAGTCTCGATTAGACGTGTTGAAGAAGATATGAAAAAAGTACATTTTTATGTTTTTCATCGTATAAAATTTTGTCCGATAATAATACATACGCTAGAACTTGATTTTCTAAATAATTGCACCTTTAAAAAGTCTACGCCAATGACAAAAAAGTACCCTTAATAACACTCGATTTACTCTCATGGTTTTGACAAAGTTTGTATTTTAATAATTATTGTTTATGTTCTAAAGTTACTAAAATGCAAATTGCGTCAAAACCATGAGAGTAATCGAGTCTTATTAAGAGTACCTTTTTTAAAGTAAATGAGTTGCGCAATCTAAATTTCATACTCAAACTCCTTTTCTTCCATTGGCGTAGAATTTTTAAAGGTGCAATTATTTAAAAAATTAAGTTCTACGCCTATGTATTATTATCGGACAAAATTTTAATACTATTTTTTTGCCACATAAAACTCTACCAATATACCAAATTTCAGCAAAATCGCATATGCCGTTTTAATTTTATATGGGAAAAACGATTTAAAAATTGTAACTTCAAGGCCCTCTGGAGCCCAAACGAAGCAACTTTGTAAGTAATTTTACTTAATCGACTTATTTTGATCTAAGAAATATGTGGTATGTTTTTGTAAAGACCTTTTACAGACATAAAACATAATTTACAAAAAAAATGCAGTAAGACAGAGATATTCAAAATTGTTGAACTTTTAGTAAAACAGCAATTTACTATTTATTTCATTCTAAAAATTCCTTTTTTTGCAATAAATTAAAATTCAAATTTGTTTATTACATATATTTTTAGCTAATCCCACGCCCGATCCAATATGTCCGTCTTCTGGAACTACAAATGTGTATTACCCTTACGATTGCAGTAAATACTACCGATGCGTTAATGGAGAAAAGACCTTGAAAACATGTCCAGAAAATTTGTATTTTGATCCGGCTACATTAACATGTATATTCATGGATCTAGTAGATTGCAGTAAGTAATTATTTTCTTTAACTTTATCATATGATAGGTGGGGTTTTCCGGGTTTTCCTCACCAGTAAGTTAATTGGCCACTATCAATCATCTGTTCTGCTTCCCATCTCCAAAATACCATCCAGATTTTGTATAACTAAAAATAGATTCCAACCTGTTAAAGAAAAAAATAGAATATATAGGAATGAGATGAACCGTTTCAATTATTAAGAGAAAGAGAAAGAAGATTTTACATAAATTATAATTTTAGTTAACTGAAACGTGTATACAAATAAATCACGTATAATCATTGCCTGAAATTAAAAAACATTAATACCAATGCTTATCATACTATATTTATGGCTTTTGTTAATCAAAAAAAAAAAAAAAATAATTACCGAAAGATGACTTGGAAATTCAATATAATGACCACGGCATAATAAACAATCGGCAGGCTAACTTGTCTTGGCGGCAACGCTACGCGCACATCTACGCGCACACCGCCATTTTGGGGTACAACCTCTCAATCAAGCCAGTGGCGTCACTGTCGTCGTTTATATCGACAAAAACAAACAAGTTGCAGTAGCACGGAATCAGTAGCGTGTATCTTAAATTTATTTTGTTTGTGATGTTTGTATTATTTAGTTATTGTTATTTTTTTAGAATTATAGATATTTTTTAACACTTTTTATATAGTAGTTGTTTTCCAGTGTTAATTTGTTAACTTTTAAGTGTTTTACTATGTCTGGGCAAAGTTGTGCAGCAAAAAACTATATGAATAAACTGTATTAAAAGATATTTTCGGTTTCTTAAAGATCTTATTAGGTATGTATGGTACACTTTTAAAAAAATCCTGGTATATGAGTCAGTTTGTCAGTTATAAAGCTATTAGTAAGATGTGGGTAGGTGCCTAGTTAACGTCACGTCAATTTATATTTACTTATGTAGGTATATTATTAAGATTTAAAGTAAAATGTTATATTTTAAACATCTCCCGTATGGAGTTGACAAAATGGAAAAATCTTTATTTTTATTTTAAGGACAAAGTCATTATAAAAAAATTCTGTTTGACGAAAAAATAGGGTTACTATATTAATATGTTAGGTCAGGTGTACATGGTCTTAATAAATGAAGAAACTTAAAATTGACAAAAGGAAAAAAATCTGTATTACTTTATTGATTTTACGAAGAAAAGTCACAGTTTTCCTTTTGGTTTTCCTTCATAACTTTAAAAGGAAACTTTTTCTTGTAATTTTCTTCAACAAGCAGAATTTTTTGTAAGGAATAATTTTTTTTTTCTGAAAAAAAAAATGAATATTAATCGTAATTGTGTTATTCCCAAATATTGAAATGCTTGACAAAAATTTAATTCTGTTATTCATTTTGATAATTATTCTAGATATGCGAATAACAAAGCTTTATAATCTTGATAAATCTAAAGTATTTTCATTACAAAAAGCAAGAAAATCTGAATTAGCCATTATTGTTTTTATTGTTTTTATTGTATTTTATTGTATTTTATTGAATTTTATTGTATTTCATATATCTTTATTTAATTTAAGTATCTATTTTATCTCTTTAATGTATTTTATAAAAACTCTTTATCATATATTTAAAGAAGGGGTTAGGTGGAAGAATAGCCTCAGGCTAAATCTCGCCCCGCAAATGTACTCATGTATTTATTTATTATAGTACAAATTAAGACGTTTTATTATTATTATTATTATTATTATTATTATTATTATTATTATTATTATTATTATTATTATTATTATTATTATTATTATTATTATTATTATTATTATTATTATTATTATTATTATAAATAAATTATAAGTAGTAAATTAGTAATGAGTCACAATCAAAATCATGTGTTTTAAGCAGTGCTATTAAAAATGTAAAATTCTTATATTTTGTCGAAGTAAATTCAAAAGCCCGCCAATTTTCAAGCTAAAATAGCATTACATCTTTCTACAGTGAGCATCATAAGTCTTACCCCCCCCCCTAACTAACTCGTTACTGGGGTCTTGTTAGGAAAATCGCCGATACAGGTTGATTTTTGATTTCTACAATGTACATTTTTGCATGATTAGTTTACTCTTAATTTCATCCCTTACTGGAGGGTAGCAACTCTTTTGAAAAATTTAAATGGCATGGGGTGGTGAGTGATAGCTCATTTGAAAGGGGGTTTTATTCTCTATTCAACCGTGCAAAAAATTTTTAAATTTGCTTCATTACGTGTTGATTTATTAATGTTTAAAAATAACAAAACCTCACAAAATAGGAAAGCAACTAGACTAACAGTGACCTTCTAATGGCAAAAAGTCTTACTTCATGTCTGAACCAAAACCGAAATCATGCAGGGAAGAATTTTAATTCTAAGGATGAGTGCGCTACGTTAATTTCCGTTATTCTGAAACAACAATTAGTCGAGAATTAATGAAGCAAATTTAAATTTTTTTTCCACAGTTGAATAGAGAATAAAACCCTCTTTTTTTTCCGTAAATTGGACAAATATTAAAGCCTCAAAATATATGCATATTCTAGATATTCTTGCCTAATTTATTTTGCCAAAATTTTAAATTTTTAAAAAAATTACTTTTTAAATATCGTTGTCCGAAAATTATAAGAGGTGCTGTATTCACCTTAACTTATTTAAAATTCCAAAAATGAACGCGTATTATTATTTCGTATCATTTTATAATTATAATTAGAAATAAAACTGTAATAAAAAATAATTCTTACTCAAACGTCAATCAAATTCTGTTTGCTTTATTCCACGTTACGTCATGCGCAAAAGTGCGAAATTCAGTCGAATTAATAACATAGGGGAAGGCGGGGCAAAACAGGGTAGCGATGTAGAACGGGGTATGCCATTTAAAAACCGAACGTGTGAACAGAAATATCCGAAATTGCATTGAAGTTCACTTAAAAGCATAGGTTACATGTTAGATACGCCAGTTGTCCGAAAAACGTCTAGCAAGAGGATATTCTCGTTAATATCTGGAAAGTTCGTGTTGATTTGTAACTTTTGCCGTCCATATTAATCACCGTAAGTAATTTGCTTATTAAAATTTGATCTATTTCAATTATGTAATGCAAAGAACGTTGTTTAACAACTTTTTTATCACTTTAGCTTTACTCTAGGTCTTTTTTTTTTAATTTTACTTTAAAAGTAAACGCTGCACATGGGGCAGAATGGGATACAATTTAGTATTTTTTGAGATGGTTAAAAATTATGTTCGGAAGACAAAGCGCCAGGAATGGAGTACCGAATCTATGAACGCAGCCGTTGATGCCGTTGTTACTGGACAAATGGGGTACAGGAGGGCCGCAGAACAACATGGTGTGCCTCAACAACTTTAGAAAATTAAGTGTAAAGGTTAAAGAAAAGGTCCTTTATTTCTCACAAGTCAATTTATTGGCGACCGGTTTCGAAGTTGTCACTTCATCATCAGGCACACCTAAATGGAATGTCAAGGAGTCAGTTGTAATAAAAAAACAATTATAAAAGCATGAACGGACTTTAACATATACAAAATAACAGAAAAAACACAAAAGAAAGTTAAACAATAACCTTGACTCACCTTGACTAATTCCATAAAGGAAGCGCTACAAAAAGTTTAACAGAACGAGTTAAAAAAGTCATGTGTAATAAGTATTTTTTAAAAAAAATTTTTAATGTAGGTTAGGTTAAACCACCAGATGTCTTTTTGAATAAAATAATTAATTAAAACACATTTAAGACAATTATTAACTAAACAACACAAAATAGTTTTACAAGCACAAACAGTTTAAACAAGAAATTACAAGCTCTTAAGACTATTAAACCTAATCAATCACAGTCCATACATGACCATTTTGTTAATTTCCATACACCTCTCATAAATTATTCTGATTGTGTTTTTACTGTTGAAGAAGTTGAGTTACTTAAAAAAGGTATTAAGTTCAATCCTTTAATTAAAAACAATAATTCTTATAAAAACAATTTAGAACTATTAGCGGTTGAAACAGAATCAATTTTACAAAACTTTGATTTAGCTAATAAAGACTTGCTTAGAAATGATGTAATCAATTTGCTTAAAAAAGAAAATATTAATTTGCCTAACAATACTTTGACCTCAGGTTCTTACAATGATAAATTAATTAAAAGCATCTCTATAAAAATCAAAAACAACGATTTAATATTAACCAAAGCTGACAAAGGTAATTGTCTCATTGTAATGAACAGATTTGATTATCTTTCTAAAGTTTACAACTTCTTAAATACTAACGATTTTACAACTATCAATAACCCACTAAATAAATTTAACACTAAATTTAAGAACGTTCTTAAGAATAGTAAGTGTTTGATAACTCCTACTCTTTTCAATAAATTCAAACCTGATCATAAACTTATTCCTCGATTATACGGTCTCTTAAAAATACATGTCGGATGTTTATGATGAAATGCCAATAAGGCCTGTGGTGTCCTTCGTCAATTCCCCAACATATTACACCTCAAAATGGCTTAATAATATTCTTAAAGAACACTACAAGGATTATTTTGTTCATACAGTAAAGAACAGTGTACAATTGATAGAAAAAATCAAAGATGTTCATGTCACTGACACAGATTACTTAGTTTCGTTAGATGTATCAAATCTTTTTACTAATGTACCTATCCCAGAGGTTTTAGAATACATCAAATCTTACTTGTCTTTATCTACCTTACCAGATGTAGAACTGTTGGAATTTATGAACTTATTAACAATTAGTCTTGAACAAAACTTCTTCCTCTTTAATAATGAAATTTTTACACAGACAACAGGATTAGCTATGGGTTCGCCTTTATCTCCTATACTTGCAGACATCTTTATGCATAATTTTGAGAATAACAATATATTAAACAACAATCCTTTTTGCTCAGCTATTAAATTATATCATAGATATGTTGATGACATACTGATACTATGGACTGGTGATCTGGATAAGTTAAATAACTTCCTAAATTATATAAACACCATACATAGTAACATCAA